AACCCAATCGGCATTCCTCTCAACACAACAAGAGTCATCCGTTTATATGACACAAAATTCCTTTCACAGAACAGGTTGCTACCAATGCAAAATCAGAAGAGAACATGGTCACACACAACCAGGGAATGAGATAGGCGATTGTATTCTTGTTCCAATTCAAAGGGTACAAACCAAATAAGAATCATACCAATAAATTCGGCCCAAGTGTTCTTAAGCTATCTTACTCGGTCCACATATACCTCCTCCTCATGACCATATTTGATGAACTACCATAATATACACCCCAAGGGAAACACATAGCCATCCCTAGATCTACTACATTGCTCCTTCCTCATAACCTTACCCAAATGGTGAAGTACCAGCAGATCTAACGAGATGTCGAACCTCAACTGTTAGCAAAACCATCCTAATTAATAACTGAAACAAGATCCCACACCTCGATTGTAAATCCCAATAATACGCTACTAGCTCAATAAAAATTCCAAAGTTATCCAGAAATGTTGAAACGACCCTGGTCAGATCAATCCAAATACCAACCCTGCAGACACGACATGCAAAAATTGTTTGTAAATAGATCTAGAGTCACACTTGGAAAACTGAACAACGCTGTCTCAACATCCGAACTTCCATTAACCAAGGACATGTGCCAAACTCGAGCCAGCTACAAACAATAATTCCACAACCAACAATGAACGAAATGACCAACGATTGAGAATGCATTGAAAACTAATTCAATGATCCAATACACTAATGAACAAAGCCAATGTGGAACTAAACATACCAAATCTGAAGCAAATTGACCGATCAACAAATGCCCTTGCTAGACTATAGATAATAATCTAGAAAACGAGCTGATAAATCCCTCAACAACCGATACTCAACCTGCGCGACCCAAATGCATCTTGACGTATTCCTCGATGTTACAGAAAGGAACCACTGGCTACAACAAGCTCCTTATCTAACAGCTTTGTGTCGCGAAGACAACTCTTGGATTCCAGAACACATACATCTGATGGCAACTTGCTCTATACCCCCATCTTGACCAAATCCTGAACCAAAGTCTCGCGTACCCGGTTTGCAGATTCGTGTGACCCATTATTCCGAAACCATAAACTCGAACAACTTGATGATCTTCCAAGTAGAGTACATAGTTCTCACCTACTTAGTGTTCGAAGTACCACCAACTGGCATTGCAAAAAGACTAAATCTCAAACCGGCTCAAGCAAATACTTACCATCCCCGACTCTTGGAATGTATAACACAATGCAAGATGATCTTCCAGATAGAGACCAACCAAACTCAAAGAGATTCTGAATCTCATACGGAGCCCCCAGAACTTCCCTAGCATAACCACCCATATCATCATGAATCCCATGCAGATGCACAAGCAATAATTATGACAATCCATTCATATCACCGATTCTCTACCTAGGAACAAGTGGACTGCCACATACTTCGCCTTTAAATCCCCAACCATCACTTCATCACGAGAATCATTAATAAATACAAGAGGCATCATTCTCAAGGTCAGGATAAACTAGATATAGCAAAGTTGTCATTCCCGATTCACATCCCCTGATCACCTGAAACAATCAACTAGCAACTAAATTAACTAAATTCAAAGAAACCAAACCCTTAATCTCATATTAAGGCCAGCACACCACAAGAATCCTCTTGTGAATCCCCACACTGCCATACTTGCCGCCAAAACCGCAACTGTCTAGCCCTATGCTGGGTCTACATTCCAACTTTGAAAATCACAAGTCTGGCCTCTCTTTCCTCCGAACACGAAAAGCTGGAAGTATTAAATATAGTGACATCCCACCCTGTCTGCCAATCACTCGGCCTCTGGCTGCAATCCTTGAGGCGATCATCATACTCATTTCCTTCTTGAGTCCCGCGACTCATCTGGAACTACCTCGTGTAAGCCCCCCCTCGGACCTCAAAATTAACTAACTTACCTAGGTCTACACCAATCAGGTCGAACTGACATGGCCACTAAGGCCCAACCAATCACCAGACCCATCCTCAGTTTGAAAATCTATAATCGAGAAACCGATAAGGGTGGAAATACACTGCAATGAATCATGGTGCCAAACCATACCATCTACCCTCAATCAGCTCCTTAGAATCCCTGAATTTTTCCTTGTTTCCGGTACTAATCCTATGCTTTCAATAGTACGGGCCCAATACTACCTTCCACACCTATCTGTAATTTCCTCAAGAATTGTTTTCGATCCCTTAAGTAACTACTCATGTTAACTACAGTCTGATCCAATCACATATACCTGCTCTCAAATGAATACACATCGCTAAACTACGCACCAATCCATCTAAGGCACTTCCTAGGCTCTCTTAGGATTCCCACCTCACCCTGCCATCAGCTGCTGAAGAACCGCTACTAATATCAGCTATATACTCCATGAATACAATTATATGCAACCAAACTTAAATAATATTTCGAATAAAAGACCTTACCCTACAACGGTTAGACTCAAACGAGAGTAGCACAATAGGTCTAAATCAATTATTCTAGGATTATTTAACATCTATAGTATGTAACTTAACATATTCATTTAATAGCTAGCTCTCATCAATATGGGTCCCATAAAGCACAAATAAAGCATCATTCAAGCAGTAATACTTTATAGGCCACAAAACATAAAAAGGCATCCTCCAACTAACTTGCTTCTGCGATGCTAGGAACTTCTGCTAACACTGTCGGTTGGCTTATGCATGCAAATTATACACAATACATGATCAAATAGACTGTCGAATAAATGATTCCACTCTAGGACCATAACCAGACGAGGAACAGGAAACAAGGCTAAATCAGTCATTCTAGGACTATATGATCCTAACTGTAAACAAATTTTCAAACATACACTTAGCAATCAATTCCACGAACATAGATTCCAAACAGGGTGTTACAACTCTCCCCTACTTATATTGGATTCCATCCTTGGAATCCGTCTTGGTTAGAATCTCTGAAAACATCGCCAACATATTCCACAAGCTCGCTCTAACCACTTCAAAAACAAGGCATCTATATAGAGAAGTCGAGAGATCACTCAAAAACCCACAACTTACAACAAGCATCCCAATAACTTGAAAATACTCAACCACAACCATTATCTTTCTCTGCCTAATGTAAGACCCAAATTACAGCAAAAACCACTTCATGCAGAAAACTTCTCAAAAACTGGAAATACAAACAAATTCCATTAATAACTCCCCAAAACCAGGAACTCATCATTTTAACTCCAAAAACCATGACCTAATACTGATCATCGTCCATTTGTCGTACCTACCCTTAGTTCCTGACTAGGAACACCACCAACCATGCAAAAAGAATACCCAAAACACACCAATCGTGAATTTCTAAGCATGATGTTACAACTCTCCCCCACTTAAAAGTGGATTTCGTCCTCGTAATTCGTCTTGGTTAGAATCTATGAAAACAACGCCAACATATTCCACAAACTCCATTTATTTTCTAGTTTAAGTGGGGGAGAGTTGTAACATATCGATGATCGAGTAATCCATGAAAGAAGCCTAACATATATTTTTTCCCATTTTACCCTTTGGCTCCAACACACAAACCAAGGGCTTAGATTACATAACCAATATTATCAACGTCCAATAAATTCTAAACTCTATTTCCATTAAAACCAAAAGCCTTTATTCGATCCATTTATTGTCTACAATCCCGAAATAAGAAATTTCTCGGAACAGGATGTTACAATTAAAATAAAAGATTGCGGGCTATTAAGGAACTCAACCAAAATTTCATGCCTACACACGAGTATCATCAACATTTAACTAAAAAGCAATAAGTATAAAATCTAATCACGAAACCAAAATCCAATCTCAAAAACAATTTCAGAAAACTAGAAATAGAAATTTACTGAAGGAGGGCGGGCCAGGGGGAAGGTTGGGGGCTAATAGATGGCAACGCTAGAGGTGGAAAAGGGCGACACTGAAGCGGAAACATGGAGGAGAATGGTCGATAGCTGAGAAAATTCTTGAAAGGAAGAGCTTTTGTCGATGTGATTTCGTGTGAGGGGAAGCATAACCAATTGTATGAAGGTGAAGCCGATTATCTATCGAGAAGATGACAGTCGAAGATGATCTTGAGGCTTCCGTTTAGGAGTTGGGTAAAGGAAACCCTAGAAGGTGGCTGGTGGTATCGATGGAAAAATTACGGTGATGAAGATGTATCAATAGAAAGGAAAGAGAGAAACCAAGATACCATAATTATAGGACGTAATTAAGATTAATTAATTAAATTATATATTAATTTAAAGATATATCCTTATTCAAGTATTTTAAAATTATTGGCCTAAAATGAGTTATACATCCGCACAATATATGTTTTGTTTACATTTACTCCCATCTCAAGAAAGAAGAAGCTATTACAAATCACACACCACAAGCAGAATCAAAAAAACATATGCAAAAGAAAACAGAAGCACCAAGAGACCAAAATGAAAACCGCCAGGACTTACGGAGACATCAAAGGGAAACCAAGATGAAAATATAACCAAATAAAGCAGCCGTGAGATATCTTTAGAGCAATACCCTGAAGCAAGTGAAAAACCGACCACAAGGGTAAAAAGATCATCATTTCCATTATCTTGAGCTGTAATTTTCTATGTAGCCCACCATAAGCGATAGACCAGAATCATAAAAATGGCACCCCCTCATCATTACTACAGCCATTTAGCATCTTTCTCCTTATAAAGCAACATCAAACCCACCAGCGACAGGGGCAATTTAGACCAAATCAGTCATTCAGTTGTATGAACACGCCATTCGGTCCAATTGCTTACACCTCGAAATTTATAGCTACCAACAAACCACTTACTCCTATCAAATACTCTTTTTCAAACAAACCCTAAGCATGTGTTATAATTTTATGTTGGTCCAATTGCTTTTGCTTTTTTCCTTAAAGATAATGCATTGAATAAAAAAATTATATATATGCATTATTTTTACAGAAAAGAACTTGAAAGGGAAGGTAGGGAAGCCAGCTAGGTTGGAAGATTGGATTACCACTATTACCCCTCTGACAGATGGAGAATCCACGTATAAAGTAACATTTGAATGGGATGAAGATACAGAAGTGCCTGGGGCATTTCTTGTCCAGAATCATCACCACAGTGAATTTTACCTCAAAACACTTACACTTGAAGATGTTCCTGGCCATGGACATGTACATTTTGTCTGTAACTCGTGGGTTTACCCTACAAAACGCTACAAAAAGGATCGTATTTTCTTCACCAATAAGGTATAACCTGAAACACGGCTTTATTTTCTTTTTCCTTTTTTTCATAGCTGAACGTATTGATCTTTCTATTTTGTAAATAACCTGTATTGGTAATGGTGATCATTAACAAAAGTGCAATCAAATTTATATCTCGTCGGACTTGTTGTGTGTTTTAGAATCAGTGTGTTGTTTGACTATTATAATAGAAAATTTATGTCTTTATTTACGTATGATAACTTTTCTACATAAATCAAATTATACAGGCATATCTTCCTGGTGAGACACCTGAATTTCTACGTTCATATAGAGATGAAGAGTTGGAAATCTTGCGAGGGGATGGAACTGGGATGCTTGAAGAATGGGATAGGGTTTACGACTATGCTTTCTATAACGACTTGGGAAATCCCGATAAAGACCTTAATGATGCACGCCCAGTTCTTGGAGGATCTTCAGAGTACCCATATCCTCGTAGGGGTAGAACAGGAAGACCACCCACCAACTCAGGTCCTAACATGAACCTATTAAAAAAGATTCAATTCCATGTCTTTAGCACATGTTTTGTAAACTAATATCTTGTTTTCATCTTCTAATAGATCCTAAGACGGAGAGTAGGCTTCCACTTCTTATGAGCTTAAACATATATGTGCCAAGAGATGAAAGATTTGGACACTTGAAGTTGTCTGATTTTCTTGCTTATGGTCTAAAATCCATCGTTCAGTTCCTCCTCCCCGAGTTTCAAGCTCTATGTGATACCACCCATGATGAATTTGACTCGTTTGAAGATATCTACAAGCTTTATGAAGGAGGATTCAAGCTTCCTGGAGGTCCTTTACTTGATCGTATTCGAGAAAACATCCCCTTAGAATTGCTGAAAATAGTTCTTGAAACAGATAGTGATGGAATTGCAAAATTTCCGAAACCACAAGTCATTAAAGGTATACATGTCCTAAATCAGCTAAACCTTACAACATCTTCTTACATAATATAAGAAAGTAATAGCGAAGTATCTTTAATAAGATATAAACGATAAACAACTTTGTAAAAACAAGATTATTCTTATCAATATATTGTAATGATTGTTACTAAGCACATAAATAAATTTGAATGATGTGTTTCCAGAGGACAAGTCAGCTTGGAGGACAGATGAAGAATTTGCAAGAGAAATGCTGGCTGGAGTCAATCCTGTTAAAATCTGTCTTTTAAAAGTAAACACTCGCGTACATTAGATATATATATCCTGCACACCACACTAGAAATGTTGTTGATGTTCAACCATGATTCAGAATTCTTTTCAATTTTGCAGGAGTTCCCTCCAACAAGCAAGCTGGACGTCCATATTTATGGCAATCAAAATAGTTCGATAAAACCACACCACATCGAGAAAAACCTAAATGGGTTAAAAGTAGATGAGGTAAGATCATTCCAAAATCGAATCCAATCAAGATGAAGTTGTTACCAAAGAAAAAAAAGAACCATCAATTTGTTTTTTACACAGGTTTTGAAAGCAAATAGGTTATTCATACTGGATCATCATGACTCATTGATGCCATACTTGAGGCGAATAAATGCAACCACGAACAAGATTTATGCATCAAGAACTTTGCTCCTGCTACAAAATTATGGAACTTTAAAACCATTAGTAATCGAGTTAAGCTTACCCCATCCTGATGGAGATAATCTTGGTGCCATTAACAATGTTTACACCCCTGCTGAAAATGGAGTGGAAGGCTCCATCTGGCAGTTGGCGAAGGCATATGTAGCAGTTAACGATTCTGGAATTCATCAACTCATCAGCCACTGGGTATACTAACAGAAGCTCATAAGGAACACTTTATAGACTAGTGCTTATATATTTTAACCATATCCATTATTCATCACAGGTTGCATACCCATGCAGTTGTTGAGCCATTCGTGATTGCTGCAAATAGGCAACTTAGCGTACTCCACCCTGTTTATAAGCTTCTCTACCCTCATTTCCGTGATACCATGAATATCAATGCATTCGCTAGGCAGATATTGATCAACGGTGGAGGCATCCTTGAACTAACTGTATTTCCTGGAAAATATTCTATGGAATTGTCTTCGGTGTTGTATAAGGATTGGGTTTTTCCTGAACAAGCACTTCCAGTGGATCTTGTCAAGAGGTAAGTATTTAAGAGGAAATCATGCTAGATATAATACTTTGGTAAGTTGTTATTAGTAGTGTAAACTTGATTAAATTTTGATTAATTTACACTTAGGGGAATGGCGGTTGAGGACTCAGATTCTCATCATGGACTTCGCCTACTAATCGATGATTATCCATATGCGGTTGATGGACTTGAGATTTGGTCCGCTATCAAATCTTGGGTTGAGGATTACTGTAAATTCTACTACAAGAACGATGATATGATTCAAAATGACACAGAGCTTCAATCATGGTGGAAGGAACTACGTGAAGAGGGACATGGTGACAAGAAACACGAGCCATGGTGGCCTAAAATGGATTCTTGTCAAGAACTGATAAACATCTGCACTACATTCATATGGGTGGCTTCTGCTCTTCATGCCTCTGTAAATTATGGGCAATACCCTTATGCTGGTTATCTCCCTAATCGTCCAACTCTAAGCCGTAGGTTTATGCCAGAACCAAATACTCCTGAGTATGATGAACTTAAAGAGAATCCTGATGATGTTTTCTTGAAAACCATTACTCCTCAACTACAAACGCTTCTTGGGATAGCGCTGATAGAGTTATTGTCAAGGCATTCATCGGATGAGGTTTACCTTGGACAAAGAGAGTGTCCTGAGTGGACAATGGATGCAGAACCTTTGAAGGCATTTGAGAAATTTGGGAAGAAGCTGAAAGATATCGAGGAAAAGATTGTAAAAATGAACAATGATGAAAAGTTGAAGAACAGGATTGGACCAGTTAACGTACCATATACCCTACTATACCCAACGAGCGAAGAGGGACTTACTGGGAAGGGAATTCCTAATAGTACGTCCATGTGAGATGGATTTAGCAGTATGTTTATAACATTTGATTGAATAACAAAAGGAAAATCGGACCATGTCTCGATTATAGTATTTTGTTAGCTAATTGCTTTCATCTCGTTTGTTGGTGTGAACTCTATTTGTACTTATAATAATGTGTTTCTATAAGAATTAATAATGAAGCTATTGTATTATGGAATTCTTGCATTTCTGGATGTTTTGCAGCTCGTAATTAAATATTTACTTATTTTTGTAGTTGAAGAAAAAGTCAGCAAGCAACTCCAACATTGGTTCTGCCTCTACACCATCAAACACACGCAAATGTTTTCTAACTATAATTAAGAAGGATTAAATATGAAAAAAATGATGTGCAACCCTTTTAGGCTAAAGGGAGTGATAGCACCTTTAGCACTCTGCCACACGTCAGATTTTGTTAATCCACCTAAGCATTTGTTATCAAACCATAGCACCTTGTAAAAGATAAGGAATGGTTGTAAAAGAATTTAATTAGAATTGAGTTTGGAGAAAAAAAAAAGAAAAAAAGAAAAGCAAATTGAGCCAACCAATCAAAGCCCACACTCCCTCCTTCTCTCTTCTCTCTCTTCTCGTTACCAACATAGCGAGGCAAAGCTTGGCGAGCATTCTAACATTTTAATAGGAATGGTATAACATGTTTAACAAATGTTTTGGCGAGAGGGGTGGTAAGGCCACTCCCTCAAGCCTTATTGCATGCAATGTGCAGCCAGAATGCAACTTTCCTGAAAGTGTTGAAATTGACTGTGATGCGTCAATACTAATACTTTCCTTTTATTCAACCTTTTTTTATTGATGTTCTATTTATTTTTCATATGTAAGTTCCAAGAATAGAACCAATTAACCGGTTATTATTTGGTTATAACATCTCATATTTATTTAGGACTGTTTCCAGTTTATAAGGGTTATTATATTTGAGTAACATTAGAAAAGGCAAAATTGCAAGATTGGTCAATGTGGTATTAAATTTTTTTTGTATAAGGTCCAAAAAGTTTCCAACTTGAATTGAAGGTCCAAAATTAAAGTTTTTCTGAGTTTTTGGTCTCTGATACACTTGAAAAGTCGATTTTACTTTTTTTCATTTCCTTTTTTTATTTTCTTTATTTATTTTGGTATTTATTTAATTAAAAATAAAAAATAAAAAATAAAATTTCACCAAACCTCTCTCTCTCTCTCTCATACCCATTTTGGCATCTTGCACATGATTTTAGTAAACATAGAGAAAACATAACCACCACCATTATTGGCTGCTGACACCCACGGCCACCTAGACCGACCACCATGTCATTCTCATCGGAAACTCCACCGACCATCTCTTCAGCCACAAAGAAACAGATCGGGTTACATCGCCGTCCTTGTTTGTAGTACCAACAATAACTAACGTCTCTAGAGCTCAAGCTCCTCACCGCCACCATCATCCTTCTTCTCTGACTAGATTAGGGCTTCGCCGCCGCCTAGCTTCATGAAAACCCTAGCCAGATCTATCGCTCTAACCTTCTTCGTGAACACCCTACACAGATCTACGGCCCTCGAGTTACAGCATCACCAGAATGCTTCAGATCTATACCAAAATGACACCACTATCTGCTATGAACCATCACCTCCGATGAAAGGCTCAGACCACCTAATTTTTCCGAAAAATTAAGGGCTCAGACCATTGTTTGTTGTCATTCAAGTGCTCAAACATGTTCGTCCCCGGAGGCAACTTGTTCAGATCGAAAACTTCCATGGCAGGCAGAGGTAGATCTGGAGAGCAGCACGGATCTTCATGTCGACTTTCAGATCTGAAAGTCGTCATCACCACTGTGAAGGGTTTCAAAACTCACTTACATTTGGCTAAGGAACTCTCCTGAGAAGGATTTTGGATTATCTCAAGTGGAAGATTATTTTGATATTTTTATGGATTATCTCAAGTGATTCCCTGTGTTAAGAGAGAGAGAGAGAGAGAGAGAGAGAGAGAGATTTTATTTTTTATTTTTTATTTTTTAAATACCAAAATAAATAAAGAATTAGAAAAATAAATGAAGAGGGCAAAATCGACTTTTCAAGTGTATCTCAAGTGATTCCCTGTGTTGGAAACTTTTTGGACTCTATCAAAAGTTTTTTGAATACCACTGGGACCAATCTTATAGTTTTGTCCATTAGAAAACTTTATAACCCTATTATATAAAGATAAAAGACATTTAAATGTCAAATTTTATTCATTCCACTAGATCTTCTTTCTCTCCTCTCTCCTTGGTGATTTATCAACCATGTAACATTGTCAATAGGAGTGTCGTTTCATAGCAAGTTTTTGGGATTTGGAGTTTCCACTTTATATCATGGTGTTCGTTAGATTGTTCTTTGTGTTGATTAGCATTTCAACATTCACCTTCATTCTACAACATTCGCCTTCATTCTGTATAGCTTGCTTTGTATGTTCTCGACAAGACACACTAACATAAATACCAATGTCATTTCATTATGTTGTATTATATTACAAGGGCTGTTTCTCACCTTACGCCAATTTAGTGTGGTTCGTATCTAATACATTTGGTGACACTCTGACTAATTGTTCATGCCATTAGGAGTGGGAATCGGTTCGGTTTGAAATTTTTTTGGTCCAATTCGAAAAGCGAACCAAATCGAATTCAAATTCTCTAGACCAAACCGAAAACCAAATTCTAATTCGGTTTGGTTCGGTTTGAAAAACGAGGAAACCAAATATTAACTTAAAAAATTTTCAAACATAAATTAAAATGTTTTTAACATAGAAACCTAAACTTGCAAACAGAAAGATCTAAAGTTTCACACAAAATGATCCAAAGAATAAATGAGTTAAAATGATTTTTACTTTATAATTAATACTTTTATTTAATATAAAATATAAAATATATATTTTTTAATTAATTAATTTATGAAATTTGGTTTTTTCTGTTCGGTTTGGTTTAAACTTCATGAGACCAAAACTCGAACAAAAAACCAAATTCACAATTCGGTTTGGTCTCATAGCAAACCAAAAACCGATTTAAATATGGTTCGGTCTAAAATCGATTTCGGTTCGATTTGGTTTTCGGGTTTTTTGGTTCTGGAGCAAATAATTTCCACCCCTACATGCATTTCCTTGCCAACGGGCCATGCCCCGTATAGTTTTTGGGTTTATGATTATCAATGAGGAGGTTATCCTCCCTATGGTTTTTCATGTTCGGTTTCCAATCATAATGACTTCTTAAAGGCTGGCACCTAATTCTTGGTTGCCCCATACCAATTTATACTCATGAATGTGTTGGAAATAGTGTCCAAGTTCATTAACGATTTTGGTAATATTTCTAATAATAAAAGGGTCTTTTTGGTTGGTCTCATAACCAAAGTAGGTTAATAAAAATGAGGAAAACTAGTTGTTAGTTTATTAAGGAATTAATAAATAAATTGGAAATTATTTTGGTAATTCACTAAATTTTTTTTAATTAATTAAAGAGCTTGAATATTAATTCATCGAAGAGATTAATTGGAATATTCCAAAAGCTCCTAGATATATAGGAGTGTAAGTTTTTGGTTGCTACATGGATAGAGATAGAGCAAGTTTGAATCAGATAAAGATTAACTTAAGAGTTTGAATCCTTTTAGGATTCTATCTACAATCTATAAATAGACGGCTAGGGGTCAAACCCTAGAAGTTGGTTTTCCTTATATTATCGTCCTCTCTCTCTCTCTTTATCTATCTCTCTCCTCTATATGAAATCTCTAACCTCTCTCATAGGGTTAGAGAATTTAGATTAAGCCCTAGTTTATGGTTCTTCCTTTTTTCTCTTGGAGTTTGTGGGTCTGACTTCATTATAGGGATTCTACTTTGAATCCTTCATCCAGTGCAATTACTGGCATTCATAAGATCTCAAGCAAAGGATCAAGAGGTTAGTATGCTCTTTCTTGTTGTTTTTAAAGTTCGTTGTTATAACTAGTAAACCTGGATCTTTGGTGCATGTACAGTTAGGTATATCTTTTGATTGTTTTCATTTACTTAAGATATTGTATAGCTACTATTAAAACCCAATAGTGGTATCAGAGACTAACAAGTTTTAGTTAATTGCAAAAACTTGGTAAAAAAATAGAGAAACATGTTTAATCGACACGCGCGACACGTCTGTCCGAATTTTAAGATTTCAGATTTGGACTAAATTTCGAAATTCTGGGGATAAACTTCGTTTTTAAATTATCATTTTAATTCTTCAAAGCCGGGTATTTGAATTTTAGATTAATTGGAAATATTATTTAACTGGAGTTTAAATATGAATATTTAATTGTATAAAATATTAATATTATTTAAACTTGAATTAAAATTTAAATATTTTATCTTGAACTTTAATTAATAAGAGAATTAAATTAGAAAGAGAAGAATATATAAATTTAAAAGGTTTAAATTTAGTATATGGCATAAATACTATATGTATAGGAATTATATAACATGTGTATTCACATATTTAATTAATAACATTATCTTCGAATCAAGACTAGACACATCCACTCTAATACTCTAAGAAAGGTTTAAGGAGGTTTTTATGATTCCTAATGAGATCGGTTTTAAATTGTTTCACATTTACCATCAACACTACCCTTTTTTAGAGTGGAGTTACCAAAAGGGTTCAATCTGATTTTGTGACAACACGAAACTCCTATCTTGTACAACTATTCAATCCAATCAATGCTAGACTCGTTTCTGTTATCTTTTAGCACTGTTTAAGGGTTCGTTTAAGTGTTCTAAGCTTAAGTACAACCAAGGTTGAGATTAGGGATGAGTTATCAAGTCGTAAAGTAGCATTTCGGGCCATACACTTCTTCAGGAGGAGTGTACGGCCGTACACCCCCCTCATGGCCGCACACACAAGGTGGTGGGTCACCCACCCCTATATATAGATGAGTAGACCTCACTTCCTTCATTTCTTTCTTCCCTTGGCTGCACACCACTCCATTCTCTCTCAAGTTTCTTCAACTGTGAACCCTTCATGGCTTCAAAAACATAAGTATTCCATCCTTTAGCTTTTTATACTTGAAAGACCCCTTGATTTGGGCCTTGATTCTTCAAGTTGCAACATGTTGTTCATCCTTTGAAGGAGTACGACCGCACACCTTCATAA